GAACCTGCCACATCGGGGGATAAGATAAATCTGTTATAGTGCAAGAACATGCTGTGTGTAATTGATTGTGTGGACAGGGCTCAGAGACACGAGGAATGTGTGGCGTATTTTCAGTGACGATAATGTGGATGATGTGTGTGTGCGTGTGCATGCGCGTGCGCGTGCGCGTGCGAAAGTAGCCTGTAGACAGGCTAGGGGTTGCATTGCACACGCGAGGGTGATGTTGTTTCGTGACTCTCTTGTCAGTGGGGATGGAGGTGAGGCGGAAGACGGAGAGAGGGCCATAATTGTGTACAAAAATGCTGAGGAGATTATGCGCGTCAATGTTTTGCAAAAAGGCTTCAACATACACAGTCAGCCGAAGAACTACATGAACTTTCGGACGAATGTTGAGGAGATAATCTACCATGCGGTTAGGTCGGACACCGCCAAGTCGCCGTACACGAGGTTTGTTGGGTGGATGCAGTGTGAGTGACATTCGCAGCTTTAAGATTGCAAACAAGTACATCTCGGCAATAAACGACTTCGATGTTCTTGCGGGCATGCGCGTAAGTGAAGCGTTTGGTGGTGTTGTGATGAGTCTTTTGCAGTCTCTCAAGGCGCTAGTGAAGATGGTGTTTGATTCCTCTGTTCGTGCGTCCACGGTGATACACCGTGTTGGGGACTTGTTTCTCATGGATGAGTTCGATATTGATTCGTTCATTCTGACTAGCTCGTCTTACGTAGGCGAAGTGTTGATGATAATTGTTTAGGGGCACTGGCCGTGGCTAAAAGCGTTCATGCGTCGGCACGAGATTTATCTGAATGGAGCTGAATTCACGCGACACGCATTGACTATGCGTGAACTGTATATAAAGTTTCTCTATCACACGTATGTTCATGCGCATACTGTTCGTCAGTGGAAGGCTTTAGTGTTGGGCCGAAGAACTCACTCGTTGGTGAGATGACGCAGAGGATGCTTAAGAGTGGTGTTGATGGTGATGGTGGTAGAGGTGTGGGAGTTGGTGGGGATTCGGGCGAATCCGCACCCTCGCTCTGCAATGCAATTGTGTCGTCGTCACCGCCGGAGTTGGCGGCTTGCAGTGGTGCGTCGAGCGCTTCGGCAGATGGGCAGGAGTCGCAGTTCCATCGGAGTGCGGATGACTTTCTGCGACTGGCCAAGTGGAAAGTAGACGACCTTAGTTTCCTAGTGGGTTCTGATTTGGCCATCTTTGGGACCAAATGCCATCCTTGCATCAGCTTGCGATTGAGGTGAATTGTGGTGTACTTGACGGCAATTGCATGCAATGATGTGTGGTATTTATGCATCTGACTCGACGGTTTTCCTTTTAGTCCGCTTCACAAGCCGATAAATGTGCTGACGGGCATTGACATATGGTTGGAGAACATTCTCAATGAGGTGCCGGAGGTGGCGATGTGTTTTCACAACGAGGGTATTGTGATGCAGGAGTA